AGTTGGTGATTTTTGAAAAAATTCATGACCCCGGACCTGGAAAAAAGTTGAAAAGTCTTGCAATTTTTAAAAATAATTTTTTTACTCGAAACAACCTAAAAAGCCGCAAGATACGTTCTGAAGGCCATTTCGGGTCTTTTCGGTGAAATTTATGGTGATTTTAGGAAAATAAGGACTTTGTGATTTTTGAAAAAATTCATGACCCCGGAGCTGCAAAAAAGTTGAAAAATCTTGAAATTTTTCAAAAAAATTTTTTTACTCGAAACAACCTAAAAAGCCTCAAGATACTTTCTGAACGCCATTTCGGGTCGTTTCGGTGAAATTTATGCTGATTTTTTGAAAATAAGGAGTTGTTGATTTTTGAAAAAATTCATGACCCCGGACCTGGAAAAAAGTTGAAAAATCTTGCAATTTTCAAAAAACATTTTTTTACTCGAAACAACCTAAAAAGCCTCATGATACATTCTGAACGCCTTTTCGGGTCGTTTCGATGAAATTTATGCTGATTTTTTGAAAATATGGACTTTGTGATTTTTGAAAAAAGTCATGACCCCGGACCTGCAAAAAAGTTGAAAAATCTGTAAGTTTTTCAAACAATTTTTTTTACTCGAAACAACCGAAAAAGCCTCAAGATACGTTCTGAACGCCATTTAGGGTCGTTTCGTTGAAATTTATGCTGATTTTTTGAAAATAAGGAGTTGGTGATTTTTGAAAAAATTCATGACCCCGGACCTGGAAAAAAGTTGAAAAATCTTGCAATTTTTAAAAATAATTTTTTTACTTGAAACAACCTAAAAAACCGCCAGATACGTTCTGAACGCCATTTCGGTTCGCTTCGGTGAAATTTATGCTGATTTAAGGAAAATAAGGACTTTGTAATTTTTGAAAAAATTCATGACCCCGGACCTGCAAAAAAGTTGAAAAATCTTGCAATTTTCAAAAAACATTTTTTTACTCGTAACAACCTAAAAAACCGCCAGATACGTTCTGAACGCCATTTCGGGTCGCTTCGGTGAAATTTATGCTGATTTTAGGAAAATAAGGACTTTGTGATTTTTGAAAAAATTCATGACCCCGGACCTGCAAAAAAGTTGAAAAATCTTCAAGTTTTTCAAAGAATTTTTTTTACTCGAAACAACCGAAAAAGCCTCAAGATACGTTCTGAACGCCATTTCGGGTCGTTTCGGTGAAATTTATGCTGATTTTTTGAAAATAAGGAGTTGTTGATTTTTGAAAAAATTCATGACCCCGGACCTGCAAAAAAGTTGAAAAATCTTGCAATTTTCAAAAATAATTTTTTTACTCGAAACAACCTAAAAAGCCGCAAGATACGTTTTGAAGGCCATTTCGGGTCTTTTCGGTGAAATTTATGGTGATTTTAGGAAAATAAGGACTTTGTGATTTTTGAAAAAATTCATGACGCCGGAGCTGCAAAAAAGTTGAAAAATCTTGCAATTTTCAAAAAACATTTTTTTACTCGAAACAACCTAAAAAGCCTCAAGATACGTTCTGAACGCCATTTCGGGTCGTTTCGATGAAATTTATGCTGATTTTTTGAAATATGGACTTTGTGATTTTTGAAAAAAGTCATGACCCCGGACCTGCAAAAGAGTTGAAAAATCTGTAAGTTTTTCAAACAATTTTTTTTACTCGAAACAACCGAAAAAGCCTCAAGATACGTTCTGAACGCCATTTCGGGTCGTTTCGGTGAAATTTATGCTGATTTTTTGAAAATAAAGAGTTGGTGATTTTTGAAAAAATTCATGATCCCGGACCTGCAAAAAAGTTGAAGAATCTTGAAATTTTTAAAAAAATTTTTTTTACTCGTAACAACCTAAAAAACCGCCAGATACGTTCTGAACGCCATTTCGGTTCGCTTCGGTGAAATTTATGCTGATTTTAGGAAAATAAGGACTTTGTGATTTTTGAAAAAATTCATGACCCCGGACCTGAAAAAAAGTTGACAAGTCTTGCAATTTTCAAAAAACATTTTTTTACTCGAAACAACCGAAAAAGCCTCAAGATACGTTCTGAACGCCATTTTGGGTCGTTTCGATGAAATTTATGCTGATTTTTTGAAAATATGGACTTTGTGATTTTTGAAAAAAGTCATGACCCCGGACCTGCAAAAAAGTTGAAAAATCTGTAAGTTTTTCAAACAATTTTTTTTACTCGAAACAACCGAAAAAGCTTCAAGATACGTTCTGAACGCCATTTCGGGTCGTTTCGGTGAAATTTATGCTGATTTTTTGAAAATAAAGAGTTGGTGATTTTTGAATCGAAATGCGCTTCCAGACGTTGCGTGGCGGTTTTTTTGGTTTGTTATGTTAGTAACAAAATGTGTTTTGAAAAAATTTCAAGATTCCTTCAACTTTTTGCAGGTGGGATCAGACATTTT